TCAGATCTACGAGCTGCGGGTGATGGAGACCAAACCGGATAAGGCCGTGTCCATCATCGAGTGTGACATGAATGTGAGTGACAGCTGATGGGGAAGGTCTGCCCTGACTGTGTCCTCCTGGGGGGGGACAGTGCTGTACCTCCAGCACCTCTGTGCTGCAAAACAGGTACAAGCAGATGGGTGGGGACGGTGACTCATTTGAGAGGACTCCACGTGCCTTTGTAACCACATCCGTGGTCTAGAGTGGCACTTCATGTCCCATCAGGTGACTAGTGCCTCGAATTTAATGGTTAGCTTCAATGTGTTTTATCTGGGTTTTATTTAAGAGCCTTGTCTTGACTCGGACTCCAGTGATACTGTGGTGCTGCTTTACTGCTCTGTTTCAATTACGTGCTAAGGCTCATTCCTGGGAGGCTTAGTCTTTTTTTAGTTTTGAGTTAAAACGTTCAACAAACAAACCTCAGCTCTTTCTAGATCAAATGTAGTCATGATAGCTTGTGGAGTTTGGAGGAATAGTAGTATAAAGCTTATGATTAAAAGAAAAATATTAACTGCATTCATTTTCATGCTTTTTGTGTAAATAGGTGGATTTTGATGCTCCTTTGGGGTACAAAGAACCAGAAAGAAGTGCACAACACGAAGAGAGCACAGTAGGTTACGCTTCTGTTCTTCCAAAATGTATTCCCTAGAAGTCAGCATTGCTTGTGGGGAAGCAGTGAGCCCCAACATAATTTTTTTTTCCTGAAACAAGTTCTTAAGGTTAAAATTGACTTACCAGGAGCTTTTGCATGTGTTACTTAGGAGATGGTTGTTTACCAACTGTTGGTTTTGGAAAGGGATTGTTCTGAAGTTTTGTTTGGTCAGAAGTATGTGGGACTGTTTCCACATGTTGTGTGTGTACAACATGAGCACAATGAACTCCGTTGTTTTCTCCCTCCCAGGATGTGGAAGCAGACCATAGTGGATATGTGAGTGACGTAGGATTTCGTGTAAGTTCCCTATTTCTGCTGGTTTCTGAATGTTGTAGAATGGCGAGGGAAAGTTGTTTCAAACAACTGCAGAATACTAATATCTGTCCTGAGAGGTGACTGTCATATAACTAGTGAGTATCTGCAAGTGTTTTATGGTGATTGCAACCAGGAACTGGATGACTTGCTGTCTGTAAAGGGCAGTCTGTAAATGGGAGACCGAAACATACCCCTGCACCCAGGGCCCATCAGCTTATGTGCACCAAAAAGAAACATGCTGAATCAAATAACTAAATAAAAATGACTGTGAGATTGTACAGAATATAGTGTCCCTGTGCACTGAACTTTCAAATACGAGAAGTTAAATGAAAACTCATTATGTATCCATAGGCATTCTCTGGTTCTGGGAACAGACTGGATGGCAAGAAGAAAGGTGTGGAGCCTAGTCCCTCACCAATTAAACCAGGAGACATCCGAAGGTATGTTTCATTCACTTGTCAGCAGGTGAAGAATCAGTGTTTGAGTAGAGTTTTAGGGTTTTTTTCACTAATTTCATCATAAACTTGCCTTTAGAAAATAAATGGTCTTATCCACAGGCCCCAAGGAAACATGGCCCTGGCCAGGCTTCCACAGCAACTCCAGTATTTGGTTATTTACCTCATGCAATGTATGAACCTTCAGAAAATAATTCAGTGGTTTAACTCTGGAATTATTTAGTAATGGAAATATGCAGTGAGTGTTGGTACAACACTGACAGACATGGAACAGGTCTCGCTGTGTTCAATTCCGTGGTAGGTATAAAACTTCTTTCATAATATTTTTATGCTTCTTTTCCAGAGGAATTCCCAACTATGACTTCAAGATTGGTAGAATCACATTCATTAGAAACTCACGTCCACTGGTAAAGAAAGTTGAAGAGGTAAATAAAGTTGAGTGCTCCTAGTCTTGCACAGAATTAGAACATTAGAACTATGGCCCAAATTTGTGGTTCCTCTCCCCATAGTTGATTTTCGCTGTTAAAAGTGGTAGCAGTTAACTGGTGTGAGTTATGTGAAAGCAACCTCTGGTGTCCTTGTTACTGATGTAAAAAGGTGGGCCTGGTGTGTAATGAGCCAGTGCACCTTCCTTTCAGGTGGCTGCAAGGCCGCCGAAGTACTCCTACTTTGTTTTCAGGAAAGAAGTGTTAATGTCTAGATTAAGGATGGGAAATGTCTGCAGTCAGTGGCTGCTCTGATGGAATGTTCTTGCCAATGATCATTCAGCTTTCATCACACACAAGCACTGAGCAAAGAGGTAACAACCTTTTTTCCCTCTTTTCTTTCTCCAGGATGAATCTGGAAGCCGGTTTATTGCCTTTTCAGGAGAAGGCCAGTCCCTGCGCAAAAAGGGAAGGAAGCCCTAGGCTGTGGTACCTTCAGTTAGTTGGGAGGAAAATAAAGTAACAGTTGCAGCATATTGGATCTTAGTTACTGCAGTTGAGAGGAGAGATCGTTTTGCAACATAGGAACCCTCTTACTGGTTTTGGTTTCATGTGTAAAACCGGAGCTGTCAGACTGTCTTAATTTTCAGTTGAAAATTGAGTCCTGGGAATTTGGAAGAAGCTTTTTGTATGTGTTGTAAAGAGGTGAATGTAGATCTCTGATCAACCTGAGAAGTAAAACTAACAAGCTCTACTTTACTAAAGATCCAGTTCTTAGACTACATCCTCCTCTCCTATCCTGAGTGATGATGGTCTCATTCCACTCTTTGCTTGGTATTTTCCTCCCTCTATATATCATTTTGCCACAATTTCAGGTAAGCTTTTTTGGTGTGGTGCAGGTGAAGGCTGACACTTTGGTGTTTAGGACTTTTGTGCAGGGAGTCTCCTTGAGCTTTAGCTTCAGGTGTTGGGTTCTCAACCATTTTAAGCAAACCCCCTGTAAGTGCTTTTTATATTTATAATTATTAACATGCCTTTTAATAGTTCAGATACTATAACGTAGCAATCTAATGGCAGGTGTAGGGAGAGGCAAGACCCAGCTGCGCTGCCCTGCTTTGGAACGGCCGTGTGGGTGTCACCCGAGGGTACGCGGGGGCAGCCTCTGCGCTGTGCTGAAAGTAAAGGACCCTGGTAACCAGCCGCGTCCCTGTGTGGTGATTTCGGACAGACCCAAGCGGGGCCTCCTTCCCGCCGGTCCCGGCTCG